TTGTACTAAAACTGAAATTCGCTTCAATTTTTTTTTCAAATTTTTTTTTAACAGCGTTTGTAGTTTTTTTACTCAGTATTTCAAGAACTAATGATGATATGATAAGCTAGTTGAATATGATAAGTTAGTTGTGCAAGTGAGCTTTAACATTATGAAATTTCTATCCTGATGAAAGTTTGTTAAATATATATTATGAAATCTCTATCCTGGTGAAAATCAAGACCTAAAGATCTTGTTACAGTGCACCACAGTCTAACCTCCTTCTTAACAGATGACACGAAATGTTATTGATTAGGAAGGACGCCAAGATCTCGAACCCTGGATCTCTGGCTTTTAAAGCAAGCCCTCTAACGACTGCATACCGGCTGCTATGAACATTTAGAAACATCTTAGAAAAAAAAAATTTCTCGATATTTTTTGCATATGAACTATTGATAACTATTGCATATGAACTATTTCTGTAGTAGTCTATTGAGAACTATTGCATATGAACTATTTCTGAAATGACACTTCATAACAAAAAATATACAAAAACCTATTTATTTTGACATTTTTATTATTTGTTAGATACTATTTCAGCTTTGTTTTGCTCTTATCTCTTTGATAAAAATTCTATAGTTCTGAGCTCTCATAATACTACTTACTACTTTATAAGTTTCCACAAATATACACTTATGTTCAAGATGGTGTCTTTCAAAATTGTGGGAATTATTATGAATATGATCAGATGCTTTGGGCTCGATACCTTTTTTTACCTAGCTACTTCCATAACTCTCTCATAATTTTAATTCCACTATTCTTTGGAAAATCATTATTCTTTTTAATAATAAACAGTGTTGGAAGATATTTGTCGCAGTTGGAAGATATTTGCCGCAGTAGTACAATTTTACTGTAAAGCTCTACACGAAGTCTTGTGCCATCTTAAACAACAATGCAGCTTACAAAACCAATGATTCATGGCATTTTTCTCCAATATGAAAAAGAATTAAGAACTTTCTCCTTTAAGTGTTTGTCTTTAACACCGCCTTAATAGCTTAATTGTTTATTTTTTTTGTTAACAAAAGCATTGAACTTCACGAGTTTAAAAAATCAGTATTACGTTATGTAACACAAAAAGTCGACTTTTTTATTTTTTATATTTTGAAACGTTTTTCGTTGGGAATAGGAGGAGGTGGTTCTGTGATAAATAATGTGTACATACATAGAAAAGGGAAGAGAGGATATTTTGAAAACTGTTGTTTTACTTTGTACGTTCTTTATAGATGCTCCATAAGTTCTTCCAATAAACCAACAGAAGCCTGTTAAGATTGTTTTTCTATCTTTGACAAAACCATATGTTAAGTATTTTGAATAGCTAACTCTTTAGAGTATTGTTGACTAATTCCTTTTCCAATGATCTGAAAACATCTTCATAAAAAGTGTTTTTTGATAAATAAAATTTTTTGTAATAATATGCTGTCCTAATTTTAAGTCACAACAGTTTTAATTCACAAATTCAATATTGTGAATTATTTTACTTCCTAGGGTTGTTTTTTTTTCCAATAGTTAATAATGTCCAAAAAGATTATACCAACTGTTAATAATGTACTTAGGGAAATATTTAAGTAACAATCATTACAAAAGAGAACTGGTATATTGTACATTTGTGTAATAATCATAAAAAAAAGGATCTGGTAAAAGTTATAACAAAAGAAAACTGGTAAAACGACGCATAAAAATTATACCAACCGTTAACCAACGCATAACGATTATACCAACCGTTAATAATGTACATAGGGAAATATTCGTGTAATAATCATTACAAAAGAGAACTGGTACATGGTACATTTGTGTAACAATCATTAAAAGAAAGAATTGGTAAAAATTATAACAAAACAAAACTGGTAAAACGACGCATAAAAATACGAAAATCTCAGAACCAGAAACAGAAAGAATTTTGTTTTCAACATGGATCACCCCAATAAGGTTCATATATTAGAAGAAACTTTAATTTTTAGAATTAAAATGTTTTGCAACAAAAAACCTCTATATGACTATACTGTAAAAGTACATATATGCAGTACCTCTACAGTAAAATTGTGTATATTTATGAAGGTTTTAAATCTGTCTGAAAAAATGAGGTTTTCGAAATTTAAAATGTTTTTTTTTTACAAACTTGCAAAACTTTTAGAAATAAGAGAAGATGTAGTGATAAACAGCCCGTTAGTGGGTGGCATGATGGTAAATACCATGATGGTAGATGAATTTTTATCAATTATTTGTATTATCCGTAAAAACAACTTTAAATTAAGGTCAGTTTATCGGAAATAATTATAAATAAAAAATAATACTTTAAACTTTTGTTTTCAACATTAAATATTAAGTTTAGCTAAAAAATTGAGTTTAAAGTTTAATATTTTCAGTTTTTTTATTTGATACCATTGGTTTTTTTTATAATATCAACAAAAACAACAATTTCGTACATCTGTGCCCTTTATTATCACTTATTGAAAGAAAATAACACGAAGAAAACATTTCTATGATCAATCAACTCAAAGAAAAAAAACAAGAATAAATGCTGTAAATAATAAAAGAAAATTTTACAAAACTACTATAAAAAATTACAAAAATACGAATTAATATTTATTTAAAGAAAACAAAATTTATTTTTGGATAACTTTGAAAATTATTGTAATAGGTCCAAAAAGTTAGTAATCATATAGTACAGATACATTTAAGTAAAATATATCTTTATTTAGAATTCAGATCAAGATATTAAACGATTTGTAATAGAAGCAAGAAAAGCATGTGTAGCAACAGAACCTGAGATTTCTTTTTGCGTGAGCATGAATTTGCTTTTGCAGAGCATGAGAAGGTTTCAATACATAAAATACAACTTTAAATTATGCTAAGTTGTTTATTGAAACTCAATTTAAGATAATTTTTTAGAAGGAAAAAAAAAACAAAAAGACGTCATAAGTTTCTTTACATAATTTATTTATCACATTACTTCAAACCGCTTTAGATATTATTTACAACATATATTATTTTAAAAACAAAAGTTATCTGGTTTAAATAAACTTCGATCTATTGAACTCTATAAAGATAGACTTTTTATTTTAAGACAATAAATGGCTCATTATTATTAATATATTTATGAGAGGAGACTCTTTAGAAAACTTTCATTAAAAGAAAGTCGAAAGATTTATGTATATTCATTTGTATGTGAATTTCTTGTGTAATTTCTGATATTTATTCAAAACAGACCACATACTCTTTTATAAGTTTAAGAAACTTTTTTTTAAAAAACTGTCTAATACATCGACACAGTTGCTTCCAACAAATTCCAAAATGATTGCTAACAAATTTCCAACAAATAATAACAATCAAACGGGAATTTTTTTTATTTTTGCTGAGGCGGATTACATACCCGCCTCAGCAAAATTAACATTATGAATTACATATTCAGTAGTAAACAAAAAAATTTTGTAAAAGTAAAACAAGAGGTTTTTTCTTATATTTGGAACTGTGGCTAAACTTAAACTGCCGAAAATTTCTAAACAATAACATTTATACTATTTTTACGAATGAAAGTGTTGTCATCCAATCTTTATTTTTATACGAATTAGAGTAGAAAGGGCGGTAAGTTCAATAGTGTAATTATAAACATGAGTATTATGAAAAACGGGTAAAAGGAGTGTAACAACTTTACAGTACATAACTATGCAACATTTCTATTGTCAAAATTAGTAAAACTACATCTATTTTTAAAGCAAAATAATTGTTTAAATTAAACATTCAAGTTCGCAGCCGTGTGACTCAAAAAAAAAAATACAAAAGATACGGAGTATTTACAAGATTTAAGAATGATATTGATGAATATGCGCTGGTCGTTTATATTTTGACGTCATAACAGTATTTTTAAAAGTTTGCAAGTTAGCAGCAATAAATTTAGTTAAAAAAAATTTTTCAATTGATTTTTAGTGACGTACCCAAATCAAAATTTATGAGTTGAGATAATTTGTCTTATTATGAAAAATTTACATATATTTATGCAGAATCAATGCAATTTCTTATTGAGATGACAAGGTTTTCATATAGTTTACGAGCTAAAAACCTCTTTTACTATCAAAATAAGATCAGATATTTACAACTTAATAAACTTTATTTTTCCAATTATTCAAAGAGTCAAAGTTTGCTTGGGCCTCACCATACACATCTTACAAAGTAAATAGCTTCATTTTTTTTTCGTTTACGAGTTTTTGTCTGTATTTTTCCTCGTCGCCGTGAATGGTGAAATAAAATAGTATAATGCCGCTGTTTGGTGAAATAAGACTATTTACTATCGAAAATAAATACCTTATTTAAACAATTCACAAACAACTGTTTGACGAGGAAGTTATTGTCTTTCCTAATCTTTGTCGATTTCAAAAGTACCATTATTATATTAAAAAACAGACAATTTTAGTTTGTTTGAATCACAGATTACATAAACAAACGGGTTGTTGCTTAAACGGAAGATCTTTTACTTTCCTTTATTACTCACGTATTGTTGTATTAATACTTTGTTGGATTTTCCGGTTGGCTTTCAAAAGTACATTATTAGTAGATCAAAACAACCGTCAGCAAGATAAAATAAGTATTCTTTAGACCTTTCCTTAAACTAAAAGAACTATTGCCGTGACAGATGTTAACGACCCTTTTTAGTCGACGACCGTTAACAATTTTTTGTTTTGTACTTTTTTGAATCATTACAAATTATCCTGATAGGAAATTAGCTAATAATAGAAAAAATCTAAAATCGAATACAACAAAATAAACGGATTGCGTAACTTTTAAAACACTGCTTTCAATAGTTGCTACTTCCATAATATAAAAAAATAGTTCGAAAAGAAAACAGCTGGAGTTTTAAACTAATGCTTTGTGCGCACCAACTCCCACGCGCTTTAAAACGAAAATTAATAAGTTTATTTATAAAAGAATTTTTTGAGCTTCGGAGAGAATTAGAAAAAAAAAGAAAATGACCATTTGGATATTTATCTCTTTCGTAATATCAAGCTTCGTGATAGTAAGCACGCTTCCTTTGAATGCTGCAGTGTTATATGCAATTATAAACAACTCTAGTTTTCATTCAAAATTCCACGCCATTTTATTCAATATTTCGTTAAGTGATTTGCTCACAGCATTAGTTCTCTGTCCAACATCGTTGTACATTAATATTCAAAAACTAAGAGGCTTTGGAATACAGAGCAACACAGATTTATTTTTTAGGTATAGTATTGTACTATTATCAAAAGTTTACTTAATAACTATGATTCTCTTGGCAGCTGACCGCGTTGTATCATTGAGACATCCTAAGTATTACAGAAAATTACGCATTTTCTACGTAGTTGTAGCCGTGGTATTGAGCTGGATAATTTCATTTTTAACCTCAATATACTTTTTCTACTCGGACTTTAGCAAATACCTTTCAATAACGTTTATTTGTTTTGTAAGCCCAACAGTAGTCATTAATTTAATAGTGGTAAGCTATTTTCAATTACATTTACGCAATTCTCGGAAAAATTCAATTCGACTATTGTTACAAAAAGAGCATTCTGCCGGCCAATCGGGGTTAAAACCTCAATATAATCCAGATTTGACATTTTACAAAATGGAAAAAAGAGCAGCGGGCACATATTGGTATATAACGTTATCATTTATTATTGTATACATGCCGATTTTAGGAACTTGCGGGTATTTGCATACACGCAAACATGACTCCATTGAAGCGCAGAAAGCGCAAAAAGTCATTTATATACTCGTAATGACTAGTTGCATCATTAAAATCTTCAGCTTTCTTACTCGACTTACAGCACTGCGTAAAGCATGCATCAACCAGTTCCAGAGTCACCGCGCCATCGAAAAAAAATGGAGAGAAGAAAGTTTGTGCCATCCAAAACCAATGCAAGACATTGATAATCAAGTTGAAGAACTTTCCGTATAAGTAAATTACTCTTATTTATGTATTTCCAATTTTCAAAACCAAAATATTTAGTAATCTGTGATTGATGGTGAACTACTAAAATTACATCAACTAGAAATAGAAATAAGCACTAAAAAAACAATTGAAGTTTCACAAAATAAAACTAACTAAATAAAAAATTATTTTAAAATTTACAGGTCTAACATAAAAAAAAAAAGCTTTGTTACCATATCAAGAAAATGACACCTTGTCTTGAAAGATATAAGACTGTGGCTTCTTCTAAAAATGAAATACAACACAATTACTAATTTATATACTCACTCGATCCCAAAAGAGGATTTTGAAAGATAATATTGGATTTCTATTTAGCACCACTAAAAATCAACGCCCTAAAAAAAGTAAAAATTCATTACGTGCAAATTTAAATAATTAAAAAAAGATTATTTGATTTTCACGTAAAAAAATTTTTTTTTAATTAATGTAAAAATTTATGTTTTTTAAATTGTCTCGTTAAAAAATTCGCAAACTTAACGCAAGTATTGGAAGTTCCGTAAAAAAAAAAAAAAGAGCGAATATTAAATTTTTTCAGAACATGCGTTGCGTTTTTACTATTATTATCTCAGTAAAAAAAATAAATAGCATTTTAGACATTTACAGACGACTACAATAGAATTGAAGGTTCGAAATAAGACATCTATTAAACGTCTCGAGCCCAAATAAAAAACAAAGTTGTATAAAACGTCTTAAGATGTCTAAAATTGAATTTTTAAAATTAGATTTAATGCTGGCGGAAATGGGTATTTACTTGCTGAATTTCGTAAGAAAAAAAAAGAAAAGAACGATAGATGTAAAATCAATGTGTTTTTTGCGTTTTAGACAACACCTGATTTTTATTACTACGATGTTCACATGCGTTTATTTTAATATAATACTTTTTACGTTGACTGTTTTAATAAAAAAACACAGATAATTGTAGCTGTAGCTCAGAGTTTAAGTATTATAAATTGAATATCAAAATTTTATTGATAAAGTAACATTGAATATCGATATATCGACGAAAAACTTTACAATTATTATAGCTAAAATTATTATATTTTTATCATGGCGTAAATAATTTTAAAATCTATTAAAGTAGACATCATTATATTATTATAATTTTATAAAAAAATTTCCTTTCTAATAAATGACTTGTGCGCAGCGATGATTGATCATCGCTGCGCACAAGTCATTTTCGAAAGAAAATTTAATCCGATTATTTCGCGACGAGAAGCGGTTGCCAAAGCATCAAAACACAAATCGTTATCCAACAAAAAGTGGTGTAATGTTATATAAAGCGGTTTTAAGTAATTTGCACAGATGAACAAATGATTAAAGAAACTTAAGACATCTTTTTGTAATATTTTTAAATTGAGTTTCAACAAAGCCATAAACAAATTATATTCTATTTATTAAAATCCATGCACTATTTTACAAATTTTTACAAATGCTTTTTTTTCCTATTACGAATCTTTAAATATCTTGAAACCAATTTTTAAACGATAGAAATATATTTTTTATTATAATTTAGCTGTATTATTATCATTATTAACTCGTTTGAATACTCGTTTCAATGATTTTTTCAAAATTATCCCAAAGTGTTCTTTTCTTTAATTATTAATTTAAGTAATTATTAAGGTAATTTTTTTAAATGGCCTCTGTCCATCAAAAAAAAAAAAAAAAAAAAAAAAAAAAAATTAATTAAAATTTTTCTATTGAACTAGTGAACTTTACTTTTTTCTCTACAACTACTACTACAACTACAACAACAACTACTACTACAACAACAACTGCTACAACTACTACTACTATTCAACATATAAAGCTTTTACTTGCACAGTGTTTAACATTTGGACGTACAAGCGTTGTGTACAACTAATCTATAATAATTTATATAAATAACAAAACTTCTCATTGATGCGCAGACCCCTTTTAGTCAGTCAATGCATGTACATTTTGCTAAGCAGATCCAATTCAGTCAGTTGTTATACATTTTACTGCATTCTCAAACTTTATTTATTATGCATGTAAATTAAAATTACTAAATAATAATTCTAATTACAATTAACATTTATGTTTATGTTAAAAAAATATTGAAAACCACAAAAGTGATTTTCAATATTTTCACCGACACTGCCCCCCCCCCCAAAAAAAAAAAAACGAGGGGGGTGTAAACTTTGCATGGTCATAACTTTAGTCATTTACAATATTTTTCTACGCAATTTAAAATCTGTCGATAAATTTTAATATAGTTCATTAGTACCCTCACGTTAAGAGCAGGAGGGCTCAGCGCTTTAGGGCTTTTTTTGTTCCCAGGCCTTCGCCACCTCAAATTTTTGCAAGGCCTCCTCATTTGGCATAGGTATGAACATACTTAAGTTTGGAATATGCAAAATAAGTGAAAGTGTCCTATCTGAAACATCAAAAATTCATGTCGACGCCAGTGAGTTAGACATAAATAACAAAAATAACAACAACAAAAAAAACAACAACAACTTTCAAATAGAGTGAAAACAAACGGGTTTAAAAACAGGGTGAAAATGAACATCACTACCAAGTTTACTTAATGGTGAAACAGCACGCACGATTTTGTGTTATTTTTTAATTTATCTAACGTAAATATAATGAGCAGAAGCTAATTTTCGGTTCCCACACAGTTTTTATTAATCACCTACATGATTCGCTCAGTAAAGTTATTTATCAAACAATCTCTAAAGAATTACGTATCAAAACATCATCAATTTTCATCATCAAAACTAAAACACATCAATTTCAGGTACATATTGTTCTAATGGAGACATAATTTAAGATTACCGGAACTAAGCAACATCGTGCGGATACAATGTGACAAATGCAGCAAACCACATCACCTTCAGTGTTGTGGCCTCACTTATTATACCAATACGGAAATATTCCATCGAAATTTTTGTGTAACCCATGGAATTCTATTAAAAACCAATGGTTAAATCATGGTTTTTAGTTTATGGGTCATGTTGCACCCCAAGTGTTTTCGTGGCTAACTCATGGTTTCAATAATTAGTCCATGGGTTTTACTATTTTTCCTAAGGATCTTAGCGATTACTCCATTCTTTCAATTATTAAAACCATGGTAACATTTTTTTTACCATGTTTTGTAACATGTTTTGTCTATGATATTAGCATAGTCAGATTATTATGTATATTACTAATTATTATTATTAAAAATATTAAATATTATTCAATATATTTTTAGGTTATAAGTATTGTAAAACGTATCACATATAAGTTTTCAGAAAAAAGGAAGGTGTGTAGCAAACATTTAGCAAACACCAATAAAATTAGGAAGCCTCTCTTGTAGTAACTTCAGATTCTAGGTGATTTTAATTACTGCTATTGTTTTTTACTTTTTTTTTATAACACAATAAGTAAACTAATTAGTTTAGTTTGTGTGAATTTATCGTATATTATTATTAGATACAAGAGAGTATAATATTAAAAAGATATTTTATTATTTTATATTATACATATTAACACTAATGTGAAACATATAGCTTAGTTATTGTAAAAGTTTTTTTATAATTTATCTACACATGGTCATAAATCATCAAACTAAAAATAGAGCTTCAACAATTCAACTATCAATTAAAGTTAAATTAATATGCTTCACAAAATATTATTTTTCAACTAACAAATTTTCATTTAATTATTTATTAACTAATAGTTTATTAACTTGATTATATATATATATATATATATATATATATATATATATATATATATATATATATATATATATATATATATATATATATATATATATATATATATATATATATTGTGGACTAGCTTGGCCTTCATTAAACTGTAAAGGGTGTTTCTCTTTTCCATTGGTTTTGGCAATATTGCAGATTGTAAAAACTATCACAAGTCAAACACAATCACACTGTGGTGTGATTGTGTTTGACTTGTGATAGTTTTTACAATCTGCAATATTGCCAAAACCAATGGAAAAGAGAAACACCCTTTACAGTTTAATGATCACACAGTTTTTACAACAATGGAGTCGAAATTGAACAGGCCAGAAAAATATTGATCACTTGGCTGATTGATCTTGAGTAGAGAAGTCATACAAATTCCAGAAAGCATACGATCATCACTGAAGTTCAAAGTATTTGAAATAGTCTTGTGAATTTTCTTCTGGTAAGATTCTTTCAATTGTCTGTTTACTTTTTTCATACAGATTAGGCAAACAGATTTTCTGATAAATTTTTCTGCAGTCTCTATGGTTTTTGGCAAACGTAGGCACGATGGTAAACAAACTTGTGGCGCGCAGAAATGAGATATTTTTGCGTGGACGTAAACAATAAATGACGTGATATCGATAAGCTGAGTAAATTCTCTAAGCTCAAATATCGATTGAAATCCCAGATAGGCTCTTTATAAGAACCTATACAAAGTTTAGTGTGATCAATTATAACTTTGATAATTAAAAACTTGTAAATACATTTTGATGTGACATCTATCATTAAATAACAGACAAATTTACCTATCTGAATAAAATATCCAAATTAAAATATCTCTGTTGGATTCTAAACTATGATTTCAATTTTTGGTGTTATGAGAACCTTATAACATACACAATCGTTGGTTAAAAGGATTTTGATGGGATATTTTTTCAGCATTGGGTCCCAGATTTTCAGGGTGTGAAATAGTAACAGTACAGTTATCCCAGCTTATTTTATTCTCTCAAAACATCAAATAAAGCAAAAATTCATGATGAATGCAAAAAATGTTTTCTTCGTTTATGAAAAGCTAACAAAGAGACAACTGATTTTATATTTTAACGTTCACAAAATGTTTTGTATTCATGAAACTGATTTTAATGATCCTCAAGTGCCAACAGGAATTTTTGAAAACTGCCGCATAGCTCATGAAGAAAAGATTCAGGTGAAAATGTTTCTCAACATGTGAATGCTTTATTTGTTGGATTGGAAAAACAAAGCTTAACAACTACTAATTAGCACTGATCATCCTTAAAAGAACAACCAATCAATAAGAAAGGATGTTCAATATACTTTTCCATCATTGGTAGAGACCTTCATAGAATTTGTCAAAATACAAAAGTCTTCATAGAATTTGTCGAATACAAAAGATGTGACATATGAAAGAGTAGCTTTTTTGGTGTTTCCAAAAAAGACTCTGTCACCTCATATATTTGATAGTAAAACTTTTATATATTTTTTCGCTAAACTTTTAGGTATACA